CCCAGTTTTTTGCCAATAGGGACGAGGGTTTCTATGAGAGAGGCATAATGAAATTACCTTCAAAATGGCAACAAGTTATCGAACAAAACGGTGCATATTTGACCTAAATCGGATCATTCTAACTATGCTAAATAAAGCCTTCAATTTAATGCAAAAATAATAGATTTCTTTTTACTACACCTTATATTATTAAACCCGATATTAGAAGTAGAGTTGAGCAGAAGCAAAGTGATGAGCAACGTTTTTTTAGGGGCAATCGTGCAGTTATTTTTGGAATTAACGACTCGGTGATGGCTAAAGATTATAGGATTAAGTCGTGGAGACAAGCAACAATTGTTGAACAAACTAGTCCGGTTACTTATGATGTTAAAACTGATGACGGATGTATCTGGAGACGTCACATTGATCAATTGCGGATATGTAATCTGCGTTCATCGGTATCTAGTACGATCAAGAGCTGGAACTACTGAAAGATAGTGTTATACCGGATATCTCTTTAACCTCTAATATAAGAGATAACATTGATAAGGGGGGGGGGAGCATTCTTGACTAATTATAATGTTAGCGACTGTCAGGTCACTGCAAACGGTGATATAAGCGCTCGCCGTCAGGGCGAAATAACTGCAGCGAAACCTAGACAAACCGTGAGTACCCGCACTGAAGTGGGGAGGCGTTCAAGCCGAATATCGAAACCTCGGCAAATCTTAGACTTATAAGTTTGTATTTCCTTTTTTGTTTTGTTCTTCAAATTAAGTGTGGAGGAGATTGTAGTGTAGTACTTAAATACATGTAGGTAGCGCTACTATTAGCAATACGAGTATATTTTTCTTTCCGCGCAGCGCTGCGGAGATGGCGTTAGGAAAAACGAAGGGGGACGCTCTCTCGACCGTTAATTCTTTTGTAATGGCTAAGGCCAGTAAGCACGTTGTAATAATACCACAATTAAAGATTATATGTTATACTTTTAACTTAGCCTCTATTTTTATGCAAGACCATTCTTGTAGTGAAGACATTACACGATGGAAGATGTCCGAAAAATTTTCATACTGATAGAGGAAAGAAATTTTACAACTCAGATGTGCAGGAGAAGTCTTGAAAAAGCACAACATCAACCATTATTCTACGTATTCCGTAATGAAAATCTCGATCGTCAAACGGTTCAACTATACGTGGAAAAATGACATGTGGAAACAATTTACGCACAACGGAAACTATAAATGGATTGACATCCTGCTGCGTCTGGTATCAAATTACAACGCGCACAAACCATTGAACTATTAGTATGCGTCCTGCCGATATTACTCCCGCGATTGCCGATAGACTCTTAGCTATGATTTACAATCGCGTAAAGATTGTCGTACTCGTGCGATACAAAGTGAGTGATTCGGTATGCGTGAGCAAATTCAAGACAATCTTTGATAAAGGTTACACGCCGAATTGGAGCATGAAAGTGTTTAAAATTATCAAAGTGCCACAAATGAATCCAATAACGTATCTTCTGGAAGATTCTCGCAGAGAACCTATTACTGGAGGATTCTACGAATACAATTGCATAGCTAATCCCGACGTGCATCTCGTTGAAAAGATGTTGCACAAGAGAAGGAACGAGGTTTATATGAAATGGTTGGAATTTGACAATTCGCACAATTCGTGGATACATAAAGACAATATGTTGTAAAACTTACATTTATTATAAAAAATATAAATACATGTTATACATATTATAAATATCATATACATATTATATTTACATATTATATATGTTACATAGCATATTATACATATTATACATGTTATATACATATTAAACATACTATACAATACAAATGTATTTTATTTAAATCGGTAATGTTCGTGATAGCGTGTCAGTGGAACTTGGCACGATATGCCGCTTATTATCATGCGGACTTAGAGAGATTCTTGTTTCCGATATGGTGTACACCTCGTGCAATTTATTGTAGATCTTATGCATGACTGCCTGAACATCATTTCGATTGCGTCATTCAAGCACCGCGTGTAATCTTCGAATGTTAGACTTCGCTATAACGTTGCTTTTGATATCTTTTGCCTTCTTTGCATCTTTTTTTCCTTTTACACGCAAGGCATAAATTTTCGCTCTAAGCCTTACGAATTTGGCCATGATGGCACATTGTTCTCGTCTTTCATAAGGCCAGAAACTTTTTTATTTGTGAGCAGAATACTGCACGCGTTGTCGCTCGAGTAATCGCTCGTGTCAAATCCTATTATATTACGTTTCATAATGTCATACACATCGTCGCATTCTAAGTGATGTATAAGACTGTCGGTATACATAATTTTGCATTTTTCGCGAAACAGCGGTGCCATGTACTCGTGGTGAAATTTGTACACGTCTTGGATATATCGAGGATGCACATACCCACGCATATCGGTTTGTCAAACTTTACCTCGAGCTTACGCAGTTCTATCACGATCAGATTCTCCGAGAAAACGCTTCAACTATGGAAATTTGGTTTGGCAATCATTGCCTCCGCACCGCAGTATCCGCAGTTTATCCTTACTGAGAAAAGATGACAATTTGCCCAAACTTGAGGTGAGAAATCTATATAAATTTATAATTTTGCGCAATTTTTTTTTATCGTTTCAGTACTATTATATCAACGTGTTTGGTGAATGAAATGTATTTTTCCTTTGTTATTGGAAGCAGATCAACGCGTCCTTCATATGCGGTGGCAATTTTTTTAATGATGAAATGCGCGTCGTCGCATCTAATAAATAATCTGATAAATTGTAAAACACTACAGATATGCAGCGCGAATCTAATTTATATTGCAGTTTGAGTATACGGGGCATCTGTATCGTCCGATTAAATGACAATAATCGCGTACTCGCGTATCGTCAGGCGCAAACAGTTTCTCGCACACATGGCAGTGCGTGGCGCTGTTGAATTTTTCCCAGTCATCTCGCGTGAAATCCGACATAGGTACATTAGCCGAAATTATAGATTGTACACTGTACGCTAGATTTTTCAATTCTTTCACAAACCAAGCAATGCAGTCTTTATCGCGGCGAAAACGGTACATGGATAATGTATCGTCGTAGGAACAATGCACGTAATATCCGATACTAAACATGTTATGATGATAATACGTGCACGTAGATTCAGGATTCCCATTCATCTTTTCCAAAGTGCACTCTAAATCGGCGTAGACAATGAACAAGGTGCGCTTCTTCCTGCAGTGGTTGTCAAAACTCAGTCATTTATCGTCCTCGCTCGGCAGTTTTTTCGCCCAATTGTTTAATTCTCCACAGTCCTTGCTGTGGATCTCCAATTTTGAGCTCAAACTGAAATAATGTAAGCATCTGAAAAAATTGCGCATTTATTATTATTAATAATAATACAATATTATTATTATTATTGCTATTATTATTTTCCGAAAGAATTTTCACGTACTTATCGCAGAAATATTTCCTGTTCTTGTTTTTGGTAATCTGTAATCTCACAAGGCGGGACAGATCTTTAATGAGCGCAAAGTATCCCGCGTTGTCCTCCACAAGAGATTTACTGCTTAGGTCGGCGAATTGTATCGGCACAATCCCCTTCTCATTGGCGTAAACACGTTAATAGGAATGTCACTCAAAGTTCAGAATTTCTTAATTTGATTCAACGTCATTCAACGCCCGCGAGATTAAACACTGTGAAATAATACGGATACGAGGATTCCCGTTCCACATGTTTTTGAGATGACTGTAGAGTGACAACAACAGTCCGCGAAATACGCATTGTCCGCGATTTGCACGTTGATTATCACTCTCTTTAACATAATTTTACACGGGAGTTTGATATGACATCCCATGCCTAAAGGATTCTGCTTGTTTGCGTTCACTGTCAAATTTAGTATCCGCGATAATGCCTATCCGCTATCACGTTCCTGAAACTCTTGCAGCGATACTACAGTAGGTCCAATGACGCGCGAATCGATGCATTGATATAGTTCAAAGTTCCGGATGGCGATATTCATATTCGTGCATATATCACCCAATATATTATAAACTAACCATTAAAAACAGTGTTTATTTTTATAAAGTCATATCGTTGCATTACACTATACATATGCTCGAGCACAATTTCACTTATGTCTTCGAAGAATCAGCGAGACTCGATATGTTGAGTTTATCATCGTACCTGTCAGAATACAATTTTTGGACGCCGTTTCGATGACGCGCCAACGGAGTCCGTATCCAGCGCCCATATGTACAAATCTTCACGCACAGATTCCTTCAGACTCTCGAACCGCGTGATACACGCGATCAGTGATTGTCTATTATTGATCGATAATCGCGGGCGTTTAATACGATTCTGCTCCTCCAATGATTCTATAAATTCGTCGCATCGCTGTTTCCACGCGCTGAACTCGTCTATAGTACTAAGCATGGTAACTTGCTCAATCAAATCATGTTGCCACTTGCGCTGTCGAATTGACTAATGATGTGCACCTAAATCTTGTTATTTTTATATCATTATGTATGCTATTTTTATTAATGATATTAGACATCCCATGATCCTGAAAAAAATCTTAAATTATGCTAACAAAGCAATTGGATATTAGCAAATGTTGTGCACTATTCAACATCGCATGTGTATCAAATTATATTAATGATCATTATTCTTCAAAAAATCTTAAATTACGCTAACAAAGCAGCTGTATATTAGTTGATATTGCACTAATTGGGAACGTCGCTTCTCAATTATCATATTGTATATAATATTTAGCAACGTCACATTTGTATCATATTATAATCATTGTCATTGCGAAACATGTTAAATGTCCTGAAAAAAATTTCTTATATTACATTGATAAACTCATATTGAAACTTGCAAATTTGCTGATACTGTAATTTGCGGTGTCAGATTACATTAATGTCATCATCGGATGTCCGTAAAAATCTTTTGTTATAAAATCTGACGTTTGCATTTTTGGTATTATTGACCGGAAATATAATTAGTCATCATATAAATATCCGCGAGAATTTTTTGCGGAAAGTCAGTCTGTGTAAAATAGCTAACCGTAATTGTTCATCGCTCTCGCGTTTGATTTGTAATCGGGAACTTGGTTTCCGCAATGTGTTAACTCGCACTAATACTTGATGTTCAAAACACCAGAGCAGGATTATGTTTCAGTAAAAATGTTTAGTAAAATAGAAATAAGATCTGAAATTTATACATGTACTCTATGCACGTGTGTTACAATTAATTTTATATCTTGACGAAGACGTATCTATATTATCGATCTGCATTTCTATTACCCGCCGAATTTTAGGTCTAAAGATTCTCCCTATGATTCTTCTGATAATGATGAATAAATTGGGAGGGGGAGGATAAGGTTTAAAAGCGGTTTGTGTGACGTTACTGCATCAAGCGCTTGGAAGACACGGATTCATACATAAGTATTTCATTTATATTTGTTTGTAAAAAATTTTTCTCTGTAGATGGTGTATTCGTTGTTCTTCTCCATTACAGCGCGTCTTCATATATAATTTGAAAGGACGACATTCATATTGGAACGGAGGAGATATTTAAAAAATATGTGATAAAATATATATGTAAAAATAAATAAATACAGATTAACCGGAATTGACTTTGTGTTCAAATTATTTATTCTCCCTACCTTCCTTCCAACCTCAACGGCATCGTGTTACGTGAGGTCATAGCGCTCGACAAATCGCGCTGTTATTATTGCACAGTGTGAATAATTATAAAAAAATAAAATAAAATATAATATAATATAATAAATAAATAAATAAAATATTCCGCGTGCAAGAAGAGGATAGCAACGCATAACAAGGAAAATGGTAAGTATTAATGGTAAGTATAGCGCGCAATGGGGACTGCGTTCGGTGGCGGGGACCGACGGCCAACCACACTCGGCGATGACGGATCGCGCTCAGCGACCATTGACCTGCGTGACATCATCACCGTAATGCGGACGCAAGTTTCCGTGAAGGCAGATTCGGAAGTTCGAATCTATCGTCGCTGCGACGAGCACTACAATCAGCCGTGGCAGCGGACGCACATCGAAGATCCGGAAATAAAGGACTGTAGCGAATGTCAGCGTCGGGCGGAAGTCTGTTGAATCGAGCGATAAACGCGTTTCCTTTCGAGTTACATATCCCGGGATACCAGTTTTGTGACCCGGGCAATCGACTTATGATTAGCCAAAAGTAATACGGGCATAAATCCGCTGGACGCGGCGTGCCGAGAACACGACATTGCATATTCTCGGAGCAACAATCTCACCGATAGACACGCGGTGGACAAGGTACTCGCTGATAAAGAGCTAGGATGCGTCACTGCGAGAGATTCGGATCTGAGCGACAGAACTGCCGCTGCTGCTGTTTAGACAGCATGCGATGAAAGCCAAGACCAAGATCGGCATGAGCATGAAATCAAAAAAGTCGACGAGGAAAAAGACAACAAAAAAAACGGATACGACCGACGGAGAAACGAGGCGGTGTGTTACCGTTTCTGCTAATATTGGGCGCGCTCGGGTCTTTGATTGGCGGAGCAGCGTAAGGAAAGCGGTAAACCATGACAAAGCCACGCGACCTTTCAGCTCGAGGAGCTGCAACGTCACAATCGCGCGATGGAACAGGGTCGCAGACTGTATCTCGTTCCGCACAAACACGGACGCAGACTGT